CTTTATTTGTAAAGTCGTTTCAATCAACTCATCCAGAGAATAGTTTACAAACATAGCTTGTGCCAGAGGCATTTTTTTTGGACAGAACTCCTTTCAATTGATAGGTTTTTGCCATGAGTGTTTCTCGCATGGAATCTTACTTATTGAGTTGTTGTTGCATTTTTACCTGCAAATAAACTCTACAATTAAAATATCCCACAGCACTAAGATAACCATTGCTCACTTTGTACTAGGCTGTTTCCATGCTTCAAATGAAGGCCACAATCCAAAATACAAGTTTGATATTATTACTTTTGGAGAAATGACAGGGTCTTTTGGTGATAACATATCAGTAACTTATCACTGAACATTTGAAACAGTGTTGATTGGTCAAAAATAATTTATCAATTATGTATGTTCCTCTTATGTCATGGGATTAATTCAAATATTGTTAAAATCTCAATTTTTTTACAATAATTTGTAAGGGGTTTGGTGCATCCCTGTTCCCTTAATCTATGTTTGTCGCAGCGGGTGTGCATTATATCTGCCAATAGTTGGCGATTCTCTTGAATAATGTGGATGGCGCCAGAATTCAAACTGACCGCTGTAATATATCAATTGCTACTGTGAACGTGGAACAAGCTTATAACCATTCAATCTTTTGTAGTAAATAAATTAAGTAAGTGTGCGAGAGTGAAAACCATATTTCCAATGTATTGTCTTAGTGTTCTAATAAATGTGATGCTAAACTGTAAATTCACAAATTAGTATGTGCTTTTAATGTTGAAACCTCCACCCCCTTAAAGAATGTAGGTAGTGAACAGTTACAGAATTTACCAAATAGCCTACAATAAATACAGCATTACCCATATTGAAAGAAAGGATAAAAAAAACCTGAAGCTGGTTCTGGACACTAGGGGTGTACTACAATAGTTTTTTTATGCAAACTTACTACTGAATTTACAGTACTGATAATGCATACGAAGAGACAAGTTATAAAGACAACAAATAAGTCATCGTTATTTTAGCCATCTACTCACATGCTACAAGCTCTAATGGCAGAAATAATCAAGGCAAGATGACGATTTACATAGTTAATATAATAGAAGATACTATGAGTAAATGTTACCGCCACCACCACTGGGGAGGATCTCCTTATGAAGTGTACATATTTCTTCTTAAGAAGACATAACCATGCAAATTGACACTTTTCAATTATGAAATCAAATAGTTAAATTATTATTTAGAATTTAAAGTATTTACATTTACTCTTCATTCATTTTGTTGTGAAAAATATAAAATACTTGAATGATTATAAGATTTAGAATTTAATCATCCAATTACTCAATCACATGGACTCTGTCTTTTTCGATTTGCCAAGTATCACATTCAGCAAAACTTGAGTTTACTTTTGAAAAGAAAAAAACGATCGATGGAAAGAAATCATTGGAATTCCAAGTTACAAGTACACATGTTGCCTCAAATTTTACTTGGTGGCATATACATTGAAGACATGCATCACAAAAACAGATAGTGAATACAAAATAATTACCTTTTGCAACTATCTATCAGTAACTCATCAAGTTGCCTGGAAAAGTGTTTTCATAGCAAAAATCGTAAGCGGAGCCGAACCAAACTTAAACTCGATCTGTAACTCATCATAGTAGACTCACATACTAAAAATTAGTTCAATATGTGAAGGCGTTTAGAAAAAAAGTCCGTATAATTATTTGTTGCGGAATGACGGAATGACAGAATGACGGAATGACAGAATGACGGAGTGACGGAATGACGGAATGACTGACAAGGGTAAAACTATTTGGCCCCGACCACTAAGTGACGGGTCCATAAAAAAATGAAGAGAGCTTGCTTTATCTAATATTTAATTTCCGCTGTGTAGATGATGTCATTCCACTGAATATTTCAAAGATACTATGTTGACTGCATCTATCCCATTGAACTTGAAATAAAGGATACAACAGATTCAGAAAAGTCTGCCTCATTTCTTGAATTACATCAAGAAGTTGACAATGAAGGTCGGTTGAGAACAGAACTTTAAGACAACAGAGAGGATTTCAATTTTACAATTGTGAACTTTACATTTCTACGTGGTAACATTCCTGCAGCGGCTGCGTACGGGGTATATATCAGTTGATACGATATGCCAGGGCCTCAAAATTTCTTATCATGATGTCCTTAATGGGAGATTGCTACAATGGAGCTATTGCGACAAGAGTGTTAAGTGCAAAAGTTTAAGCCATCCCTTCGAAAGTTTTATGGACGTCATCATAGTTTGGATGACCGCTATGGAATATCTGTTTTACGTATGACTACGGATATGCTCCACTTGTCATAACCACAATCCAATCCGCATCTGCGCCTCGATTGTGACATTACCGAAAGTGACTTATTATAGGATTTTTACGTGCTTGAGCAACACGACGGGTGCCACATGTGGAGCAGGAACTGCGTACCCTTCCGGAGCACCTGAGTTTGCCCCCGATGTTTGGTTGGTTCGTCTTGCCCAGTCTTTACTTTTCTATTTGATGTTTAGTTATTGTTGTTTGTTCTCCTGTCGTTTTTATTTTACGGCCATGGTATTGTCTGTTTTTATTGAACTTATGATTTTGAATGCCCTCTTGGTATATATCTTGATAATTTGAAATAAAAGGGATGAACATTAACATCATACAAATAGAGTAGAGCATACATCCAGTTTTGTGGTAATGACTACTGTAAAAACAGTAACTATATATCATTTAAAGGGACGACTTGCCGTGGTTTCACAATTGAGCAGCTTTGTCAGTTTATCAAGTTTACTCTGATTAACAAAGATGAAATGCTGATGATTAATTAAATCCAACATGCAGTTTCTTGTATTTCAATTGGATGCTTATTTGAAAAAATGGTGCGACAAGCCAAATCTTGTTTTGGATGAAGAGTACACCTATATGTAGACAATCTAGGTTAAGAAACATTTCTTCTTTGGTCAAATAGTTTTTGCGTTAAATATTGTGAAATACCAAAATTTCAATTCAAATTTGAGTACCTTAACCATTTCCTTCAGACAATCACTTATTTGGGTTTGCCATACCCGCTCAATGTTGAAAATGAATGGTTTGAGTAAAATTTTGAATGTCAATAATGCAATTTTTGGACAATTTTTTTTTATTCTATCGTTAATATTCATCAGAAATTTATCAAACCATTTCCATGTTAGATGTATCAAGCTGTCCAAAACACATGTTATTTACCGTATGTCAAAATACTTACCATATGTTTAACTAATCCGACATTGCTCTAAGGTCTGGCGACCTTCAATTTTGTACTTTCCAACTTTGAATAAATAATAAGATTGACTTGATAAAAGGATTTGGCCATGCTTTAACCGCCATATAATTGTTTCAAATATTATTCAAACCTTGAGAGTTGTTTATCTTAATTCTTGAAATAGCAAATCAGGGGCGGATTCAGGCGGGGGCGTGCGCCCCCCCCCCCCCCCCCTAAAATTTGCAAAGCATGGATTGTCCTCAGCTTGATAAAGAATATTTCGATAATTTTACTTCAAAAAAAATTTCGCCTCGATCCCCCCCCCCCCCCCCCCCCCCCTAACCTAAAATCCTGGATCCGCCCCTGCAAATGATATATTAGTACCATTAATTCATGTGTCTGATTCAGTAATAAATAATCTAGTTTCTAAAGTCTAGCTATAGTTAATTCATACAAGGGAAATATTCTGGCTTTTGTTCACTTATATATATATTTATATATTTGAAGTGTAACAACCAAGGAGATGGAGCAACAACCGGACTACTTTTTTTTTAACTTTTCCTGTCAATTCAATTGCTAATTGCCAATATTACATAGGGTTATCACCATAAAGAGTTTTTATATTCCACATAAGAGATTGTTCATTGTCTCTACATATAGAGAACTATTAGAAAGTTTAAGTACATTACTTATTCATGTTCGTCGGCATCATTGTGTTATTTGTTTTGGCTCCGTTTGGTGATGTCGCCATGTTATCGACCGTTTAGTTGTCCCAACTAATGAGAAATTTCAATCATTAGAGTCTGCTTTCTCATTCAATGAAGAGATATACCAATAGATAGAGTAGAACAGATAGGGATATGGACGATTACAAACATTCATAATACATATACCTAATCTGAATCAGAAGATACTTGTGCAGTTAAGCCACCACAGACCAAAATATCACCTGCATTCTACCATTAGATCTTTTTAATACATTCCACAATATCGTTATAAAGATTTCTATAATAATGCAACATCTCTAGCCCTTTCAGTGGTCAAAATAGTTTTGTATGCTGACCCATTGGTAACAACATAATTATCAAAGCATCGAGTGTTCAAAACTTGTCAAATATTTCAGGCTTATAACTTAGTTTGTCAGATGCGCGTTTCGTTTATATATATGATAAGACTCTCCAGTGGCACTCGAATTAAATTAGTTGGAAAGCCAAATCACATTGACAATTGATAAATTCAGTAACAGGATGAAGTCAGTCATGTTGTTGCTCCATCTTCTTTGATGTCACACTTCAAAATTATAAGTGAGCCAAAGCCCGATTTTCCATCGTATAAATGGAATAATGCAAGACTACCTACTCTCCTATGTACCTACATACCTACAATCCATAATGCTATGTAACTGCCCCAAGTCATGAAACTCGTTCATGATCGTCTTACGACTATATTTTAGTGTTGGTGGTCCATGAAAGAAACATTGTGTTAATGACAGATCTTAAGACGTCTCTTTTAAAATTTACACTCTTTTTTAGACTCGGGATACTTTATAGCAAGCAGTGTTTAGAAAGTTCTCAATTTTAAACGATTACACGTTTCTCTCTAGCTTCCTTATCTGAATAATGTTTTTTGTGTCAGGTTGCGATCTCATTGACAAATTCCACTAAAATCTTTTATATTCATACACTTGTACTCATACACATTTTTATAAGCTTATAAATTCTATACATTATTTTTCCCTCAACAATTTCTTTTGAAATTTTAAGGTAAATCAAATATAAAAATTTAATATGCAAAGAGATGTTTTATTTGGGTTTTTTATCTCTATTTACTTTATTTGAATCTATTTTTTATTTCAGTACATTTTCTACTCTTTTCAGTGTTCGCTATTCTCAGTTTCTTTGTTTCCAATGACATCAAATAACCTAGGTCTATTTGCTGCTGACAGTTCTACTGGTCGTTTGTTTCTTGTTTCCCGTTTGTGTCTATGCAAGAGATCTTCAAATGACAACACTATTGTTTTGTCTGTAACATAAATTTGTTAAATAGTTTAACATGATAATTTCATTATCATTTACTTTTAAACTTTAATACACTATATCATGCCGCTCGATCTTTATTTGTATATAAATATGTGTGTTCTAAGAAATATGGTTTCTTTAAATGGAAAAAAAGTGGTGCAGTGTAACATGGATGATGGAGGGAATAAGCAGCTTTATATTATTATTCTGAAAAATATAGTTATACAGATAGCTCAGGCTCTCCAACTGTTTCGGTTCTCATATATCCCTACTTCGCTTTCAAATATTTGACTTCAAGCATTCCTTGTGATGGTAAATCAATAAAAACGCTTCTTACGCATGAAATTGTAAAGTGTTGTTTTCATTATTTTAATGGTTAAATTGAAGTTTTGCATATCAGAATTCTAAACTGTCTTGATGTGTGTCTGATCTGGAAAAGGCAACATCTTTAATAGGGGTTTAAATTAAAACTTTGTCATATTCTGATATTATGATCAATTTTGTACTTTCACATATTTGTATCTCTCGAGTAAAAATATCATACATCATACCTAAAACTTACCAGTTTTCGGAACATGGTCTGAAAAATATTTAATCTACAAAAGTAAGTTACATGCACATATTGTCACGTGTTCTTCTGAGAGTTTGTTTCGTGTTTGGAGTCTTTTAATCTGAGGGTATTTTCAATTAGGTCGACACATGATAATTTAAAAATAGGTAATGGTTTTAATTATTACAACACAAATGTATTATGTTCTTCACGCGGTATGTATTAATGCGCCGTTACAGCCGGTATGATAAAAAGTAAAATCACAAAAATACTGAACTCCGAGGAAAATTCAATCGGAAAGTCCCTAATCAAATGACAAAACACATCAAACGAATGAACAACAACTGTCATATTCCTGACTTGGTACAGGCATTTTAAAATGTAAAAAATGGTGGATTGAACCTGGTTTTATAACGCTAAAACTCTCACTTGTACGACAGTCTCATCAAATTCCGTTATATTTACAACGATGCGTGAACAAAACAGACATAATAAATAAAATAGTCAAAATATGGGTACAGCAGTCATCACTGTGTTACAATATCAAAACAAACAATCATTTACAAAAAAGCACAAAAGCATCTATCAAATTAAAAACCGCATTCATTGCTTCGCGTGTCTGACGTCAGAAAATGTAAACGTCACATGAGAAGAAATTTTGTCGTTCAATGTTTATTCAAAACAATTTTATAATTTCACATGGGGAATGTTGGTATACAGGGTTAAAAAATCAAAAGTTATGTTAGAATTAATTTCAGAAATAGACCGAGATTTAAAATTGTGCAGAAGTTCTTTAGAATTTTTAAGAATCCACATATGGTTAATACCACTACGCGAGTAAAATAAATTTGTCGTTTTAAAGTACACTAGTGCCATGGGACATGTTGGGAGAATGCCAAGCTTTGCAAGTAGAAAATCATAGCAAACACGTTCCAAGTCTTCAAAAACATAATGTTTAATCCATTTACTCGACTATTCTTTTGTATAAATTTGTAGGCGTCAGACCTTGTTTAGGTGGTATAAAGTTCAAGCTCAGCAATCCATTTTTTGTCTAAGTCAGAAACCTGTTGTTGATTGGTGGTTGTTTGTTGATGCGGTTCTTAAGTGTTTCTCGTTTCTCGTTTTTGTATATAGATTAGACAGTTGGTTTTCCTGTTTGAATTATTTTACACTAGTCATGTTGGCGTCCTTTATAGCTTGCTGTTCAGTGTTAGCCAAGGCTCCGTGTTGAAGGCCGTACTTTGACCTATAATTGTTTACTCTTTACACATTGTGACTTGGATGGAGAGTTGTCTCATTGGCACTCATACCACATCTTCTTATTTCTATTGTTTTCGAGGTTTTGCAAAATTGGGATGGAAATGCATGTCTAAACAGAAGGGGTTTAAAGCGCAATGAAACACGGTTGAACCTACAATTTTGCCATGGTAAATGCCTTTGGTGTTTTTAAATATGATTCATCCTCAGTTGTGATGTCATGTTATTCGTTTGTTGGTTTTTTGTTTTATTTTGCTGTTGGTTTAGGACTCTAGATGTTTGACACTTTGTTAGAGTTAAGCCTATTTGTGTTTTCCTATTCTTCATTATGATATACCAGTTCGTAAGGGTTCCGCGGGACCCAGTGTCTCGCCTACTTTTGCTGTTGTCTATGTTTTCAGTGTGATAGGGGAATGCACATAATAGATTTACAGTTAATGAAATAAAAATCCAGGATGGTGTATGAATCTCATAAATGTTTTAAAAACTTTAACTGCAGACTGTATGTAATGTTAACTGGAAGAAAAACTAAGTCCATTTATAAGTAATATACAGGAAAACAGGAAATAAATTTTTACAAAATTTCCTTCTAGATACTAGCTTTTGAACATAAACAAGCTTCTGTCCAAGTTTGGTACAAATCCGGGAGTTTAAGAGTTATTAAAATTTTTAAAACTTTAACCACAGAGTGAATTTAATGTTAACTGGCAGAAAAACTAAGTCCATTTATAAGTAAAATACGGATAAACAGGATTTTTGTTACAAAATTTACTTCTGGATACTATCTTATGATCATAAACAAGCTTCTGTCCAAGTTTGGTACAAATCCAGGATAGTTTAAGAAAGTTATAAAAAATTTTAAAACTTTAACCACAGAGTGAATGTAATGTTAACTGGCAGAAAAACTAATAGATATAAGAAGATGTGGTATGAGTGAAAATGAGACAACTCTCCATCCAAGTCAAAATTTATAAAAGTAAATCATTATAGGTCAAAGTACGGTCTTCAACACGGAGCCTTGGCTCACACCGAACAGCTTTTTGAGCTATAAAGGGCCCCAAAAATTTCTAGTGTAAAACCATTCAAACGGGAAAACCAACGGTCTAATCTATATAAAAAACGAGAAACGAGAAACACTTATGAACCACATCAACAAACGACAACTACTGAACATCATATTCCATTTATAAGTCCATTTATAAGTAAGATACGGATAAACAGGATTTTGTTTTTACAAAATTTACTTCTGGATACTATCTTATGATCATAAACAAGCTTCTGTCCAAGTTTGGTAGAAATCCAGGATAGTTTAAGAAAGTTATTAAAATTTGAAAAACTTTAACCACAGAGTGAATGTAATGTTAACTGGCAGAAAAACTAAGTCCATTTATAAGTAAAATGCGGATAAACAGGATTTTTTTTTTACAAAATTTACTTCTGGATACTATCTTATGATCATAAACAAGCTTCTGTCCAAGTTTGGTAGAAATCCAGGATAGTTGAAGAAAGTCATTAAAATTTCAAAAACTTTAACCACAGAATGTAGGATCGCTATGTCTCGCTTTTGCGACAAAAGTCGCAGGCTCGACAAAAAGCAACAACATAAAAAAGCTCAAGGTTAATTATACACACAGTTAAAGATTAACAAAAGGAGTAAGAAAGAAAAGCAATCATGGCAGATAGAAAATTTAGACCTAATTCACCAGATTGGCATTCGCGTGATGGCACATAACCTGTTATTTACTTTCCTAGACCTAGGCCAATGCATGTCGTCATTATAAAGGAAATACTAGATCTAAGATTCGATTTCTGTAGAATAAAACAGTATTTACCGAGACAAGATCCACAGCACTTATTTTTTAACCAAAATAATGCTTCTTCAGAAAAATTCAAATTTTAAAAAAAATACTGGACAATTACTTGTGATAAGGATTATTTCTATATAATAATTAAGATCAGCAACAAAATACGAGCACTCCTGGTAACAAAGGTTAGCCAAAAGACGGACCATTACAAATATTTCCGAGCTCCAATCGAAAGGGAGGGAGAATAGACAAAATAAACAATAGTACCTTGACAATCACTTTCATCAGAACCATCCAAACAGTCTACAATGCGATCACATTTCCATGCATTATACACACACTTCTTTCCATGATCACATGGGACCATCCCTGTAGCACACTGTTGGAGTAATACTGGTGCGTTAGTTGCAACTGTAACATAAAGTTTGATACAGTATTAAGACATCATTTCAACATATTACGTAAGTAAACTTTTCGTTGACTGTAAATGGTTAGGACTTTTCGAAAAAAAGCGGTATTCAGTTTTTTTTTTTGGTAATCAGACACACGTCGTTTCTAGTCTTTTTTGCAGGAAAGGGTACATATCTATTTTAGCATTTGTGTCTTATTTTTTTAAGGAAATTGAATATTTGAATATTTTTTTATTTATTAATAATCTTTTGAATGGTCATTCTTTTTGTTTTATATTTTACATACTGGGTATTTACAGTAAATGATCCCATCTTGGCTTGTTCAACCTTGATAACTCCAAAAACAACTGTAAACCCAGTGTGTATGGTCGGGTTAAGGATCACTATCAACTTGCACGAAACATTTAATGAGAAACTTGCTTTCACGTGCATGGTTTAAGGAAAAAGAGAACTTGCTACCAGAAACTTGTTTGATGCATAAATTATGAGATGTGGTATGATTTCAAATGAGAATATTAACAAGCAAACATATAATTATTCATAACTGTAGTAAATAATGGCACGCGGACACACGCTAATGAATCTACACAGCATAAGCGACAAACCCTGCAAATCAATATGAAAATAAGAAGATGTTTATTTTGAATACTTTAAGGGGACTCATGCTGGAACTTTCTCATATTAGCATTAAGACTGATATAGGTTAATATAAGACTGATTAACCGAAGGATTGCAATATCATGCAGACCTGTGTTGGCACATTGGAAACATATAATATATAAAACAAGTTACAATTGTATAAAGACCCGTAATGGAACTTCAGTATCTTTTGCAGAAATAATTCGACTACTGCTACTTAAAGGTTGTGTATATTTGATCAATGGGTAGATCAGTGATCAGTTTCACAAGAAATCTTACGACTAAATTTGATCGCAAGTCATGAACAAGTCAGTATACTTACGTTCAACTTTAGTCGTAAGATTTTTTGTGAAACTAATCACTGGAGTATGAGAGACAACTCTTACAAATGCGACATTAATGAAGGAAACTCTACAGTCACCAAGTGAAGGAAATAATTTTAATTTTCAAATCTTTTGCACTAGAAAAGGGGAACGGACAACCTATAGTTACATTTTAGCAACATATTATGGAATATAAGTGTGGTGTCGATTAGATTACTTTATATATATATGCTTTTTTATTAATTTTCCTTATTGTATGAGCAGCATCGGGTTCTAATGTTGGGATTCACGAGTCCAATTTCTTGAAGGGGAAAACATTGTCTCATTAATATATTTAGGACATTTTAAAAGTCTATCACTTTTTACAAAGCAAAAGTTCCTGTAAATTTTCGATACCCGCCCCCTTATAAAATTATTTGGAAATTGCCAGGAATCAATTGCTTTCAACTTCTCAGTTGCATAAATTGATTATAAATTTATTAAAATTCCCGGCTTCAGGAAGTACGTGATTTAATTACAAATCACCTCCCCAACTCACCATCTCAGTCGATATTTTCGAACTGCTCCGTGTTCCTTTGTTTCTTTACTAAGTGTCTTCAAGGATTTGTATATACAAATCCTTGGTGTCTTTAATAAATAACAGTGTATAAACCTTCTTTGTATTTTGTTTTTTTATCTTGCATGTATTGTTAAACGATAGAAAACAAAATCATAATGATAAACGAAAATTGTTTTTTTTTTTATTTTTTTTTTTTGCAAAATAGCTTTTTATCAACATTTTCCATGATAAATTTGCCTTCAAGTAATATGGTTTTATTTCGTTTTTTTTAGTGAATTTTCAAATAAGAAAGAAAACTACCCTTTTTAATATCGTGTTCAAATTCTATGTGATTGCATGAACACAACCACGTCATATAGGAAACAATGAATATTACATAAAATATTGCAATCAATATTACAAGTTTAAACTACCTGGAATCAATATCGAATTTTCTTCGTGTTGTGAAATATACCATTCAAAAGACACTGTCAATAAGAAGACATATTTTATTAAAGTAAGTATAATTTAACGGAATATGAAGATTATTGCATATATTAAAAATACACATTAAATAAACAATGAATACCGTCAAAACGGACATAAAGTGGGTTTCTTAATATTAACAGATTTAGAGATGATAAAAATGCACATCCCTTTTCTTAACTAGAATTATCAGAAAAATAATTGTTTATCAAATTTTACATTTATATAAATAAATATGGTTAAAAGGATATTCTATAGGCATTTGCTTGAATCCATATTCTGTCTGATAATTACAAAACTAATATTACTGCTTATTACTAAAATGTTAGGTCTTGTATTTGTTGGGAAAAAAAACAAAAGATAAATAAAACAGTATTATGTTTATCATTTTGAATATTAATCGTCAAGCATAAACAATCACATGTAATTAATTCTTTGTATATCTAAATAAGGTATCAAATACTGTAAATGTGTATAATCGTCTCTTTAAATAAACCGAGGTAGTTAATTAGTTCAAACGCATTGATGCAAATATGAGATAATTATATATCTTATGGTAATATACAACTATATCTCACATGAATAAAGTCTTCGCCTGGAATTTTGGTGATAATCTTTAAATACAAGTTCTGTCTTTATAGCCCCATAACATTCATGTGAGGTCAAAGAAGTATAATACAAAATACAGAACTCCAAGGTAAATTCAAACTTGAGGGGAAGTCAATACAAACTGACAAAATCAAACGTAATCAACCACATGAATCAACGGAACAAGTGGAAAAAACTGTCATATTCCTGACTGGGTACAGGCATTTTCCGAAGAAAATGATTGGTTAAACCTATAGCTAGCTTAACCTCCCACTTGGGCGAGAATTCAAACAGACATAATAGGTTAATGTGACAATAATTGGGATCCAGCAGCCAAAACTGAGTAAACATACATAACAACTGAATAAAAGTTCAAACAAGCGTTCACATGAATCCAACAAAGACGTCAACAAACAATGTGTTGTAGTTGATAGTAAATTGACAAAGACGCCGACAGAAAAAAGTAAAATAACAGAAATACCGAACTCCAAGGAAAATTCAAAACGGAAAGTCCATTATCAAATGGCAAAATCAAAAGCTCGAACACATCAAACGAATGGAAAACAACTGTCATATTCCCGACTTGGTACAGGCATTTCCTTGTGTAGAAAAATGTGGGTTAAACCTGGTTTTATAGCTAGCTAAACCTCTCACTTGAATGACAGTCGCATATAATTCCTTTATATTGACAACAATGTGTGAACAAAACAAACAGAAATAATAGGTATTGGGGTACAGCAGTCAACATTGTGTTATAATCTTAGAAACGTTTTTGTAGTCGAAAGTTAATTGAACAAGACGCCGATAATAAAGATTTTGTTGTTGAAAGTACACACCGTATATAGTATACACTTTCTCGATCAAGTACAAAACGTCAATGCCAATGTCATTAACATCTAAAAGTTAAATTTCGGTCTTCCAAAAATAGACGAATATCAATAAACCATGTGAATCTCAAAATCTCATTTAGTCAACACATGGAAGTAATACCGAAGTCAATATCACCGTCAACATAATACTTCCATGGTCTAAAAAAGTTGTGTAAGAATTAACAGGGACTATACAAAATCTGTTGTCAATATTAATGAAAATAAAACTTTGTAAAGGCGCGTCCTTTTCCTTACGGAAAAACACTAGTTCGTTACTAAAGAGACAACAACTGACGAGATTCATGGACCGTCCCCAAAGTAAACTTTGGACCCATTGGTGGTCTTGGGCTGTTTTCTGCTCTTTGGTCGGGTTGTTGTCTCTTTGACACATTCTCCATTTCCATTCTCAATTTTATTGTACAGAATATCAATGCAAAAAAGAATAAAGAAATTTTAGTCTTGTTACTAACTACAGATACGAAATTGATGTAAATCCCAAAAATATGCAACGATTAAACAACAACAGTATAATTATAATCTGTGTTAATACATGAAGCCAACACAGAAGTGTGTAGAACAACTACTGAACTTGATTTGCTTTATACTGTAAATTCAGAAACTATTGCGAGGTTTTTATTACTGCTAATAATGCGACTAGATGAGTATCGCACTAATAAAAACTCGCATTCTGATATCTGATACATATTTCTGCATGCACATTTTCCTGAAATCGCAATAATTAATCTGCAATTAAGTCCATTCTTCAAAAATCGCAATAATAAATACACGCAATAATTTCTGAATTTACAGAATTTATTTAAGATTATTGCCGTAAAAGATCATTAACAATGGGAAGGCAAAGTTTCCCGTTTATCATAATTTTTTTGGTAAAAATATTCAAATATCGATGTCCATAGAAGGACACTGATTACTCAAAACGTTGGATAAAGTTAGAGCTGGATGTGGATGATAAATAGTATCATTCAAAAAGTTTGTCAAATCTTACTGTTGAATGGAAATTGAAGATGATTTTTTTTTTATTTTAAAAGATATTTACCACACCCTTTGACCTTTTTTAAAAAAAATCACATCAAAGATACCAGGCTTACAATTTGGTCTACATATGTCTCATTCATGGCGCTCGAATCAAAACAGTTAGAAGGCCAAGTCAAATACGAAGTTGAAGAGCATAAAAAAAATATAGGCAATCTATGCATGGGAGTAGAAAACCCTTAATGTTTCGAACGATTCCATATTTTATAAACAGTAAATTTAAAGAAAATAAACATATCAATGATACTTCAAGTCATTAGTTAGTAAATGACTGTGATCGATGTTTTCTTGAGTATAAAATTTCCAAGGTTGTTCTGCAACAGCCACAAGTAAAATTAAGAATTCGATATCAAAGGGTACAATCGTAAATCACCATGACAATAACTGACGAAACAAAAAAATGTATTCTTTATATATTGTTATGTATTTTTGTATACGAAAAAAAAAGAAATAAAAGTTGCATGGAACTATATGTACAAATACTGACCATTCACAATTTTTTCAC